TATTCTTTATGTATAATTATAAAAGTAACTAAAATATAAAAATAGGTATCTTTTTAGGTTAGTTAAGATTATATTAGGTAAAATAAATAATAATACTAATATAATATAAATGTTTCATGAGCAAACACGTGAACAACTTGCAGTAGCTCGTGGGTAATGTAATTCATTAGCATAACGTGAGCTGCACGTTCCCCTAGTGATTTACAACTTATATGCCATGGATTGTGGTTAGATACAGTTCAAAGGGCAATAAAACAATAACATTTAATTATAAATAGATGTGTACTGTTATGGACTTACAGCTACTTAGGATAATCAAATGTAGTTTCATATTAAAATTTGAAATCATTCTTGAAAGAAAAAAAGGGTAATTTAGATTTATTTCTATTTTTATTTTTTTTTGTGGTTATGAGGTTGGTCGAATTGGCCAATATTCATGTTAACCACATTCTTATAAGAATAAGTTATTAATGTCTATTTTTATACTTGCAGGTCCTATCAAAGCAGAAGTATTAAACAAACGTGGAGAATCAATCAGTAAACTTCCAGGATCAACCTGTAATCAGAAAAAACTACTTGTTGAACTGCAGGTGCTATGGCATTGTGAGTTTTAGTGCATACAAAAACACACACACATTGTCTGTAGCTTTAATTGAATTTTTTTTTGACATACAGCAATCTTGTATATTATTAGATAAATAATTTTTTAACTCATCATATATGTAAAACATTTTCATGAACTTCTGTGGTGGCTTAGTGGTTAGTGTGATGGACTATGAATCTGAAGGTCTATGAAATGCTTCATGTTGCCACAAAACCATAATGGAATGTTCAGACAAAAAGCACCTTAAACATTAAAGATTCAGTTCAAACAACACTTTAAAACCTTTACTATTAACTGCTAAGGCTGTACACTTATAAAAATGCACAAAAAAAGCATGCATGTTAGACTTGCAAGGGAAATAAAATCTGCTCAAAATGGGCTGTTTATAATTATTCTTATTCTCTTGCCAGTCTACAACAAAAACTGCTTTGTGTATTGCACCCAAACCTTTTGTAGAATACTAAATAAGGTACTGCAAAGGCTGTAAGGGTATTCAAAAGTCGATTTGTTTCTTCTATATTTTACATAAGCTAAAAAACAACATAACTCTAATGAAAACGATGTTATCATTGCCCTTTGAAGTTAGCTTTGTTACAGATATCTGGTGTTCCTTTAAATAGCTTAAGTTCAGGGTGAAACAGAAATTAACAGCCAGTGATAGATCAACATTAGATGACTGAAACATTTAGATACTCAGTGCTTTGTACATTATACAATTGGTGCCTTTAGGGAGCCAAACCCTATATTGCGTATGAAGTGAAAACCGTATCAGCTAGCTACTAGCTGTGTTTATTATCATCACAATGTATAAAGTTAGCTACCATAACACGTAATCCTTTGCCTATAGCTCGAAATAAAAAATCCAGGAAACAAGAAAAATAAAAAAATTTAGAATTTAAAAATCTGCAAATAGGGATTGTGAAAAAGTAAGGAAACAAGGTTGGAGATACTGTAGACATTATTTACTCAAACTATAAATCCCCAGTTTGACTCCATCAAATGTAATTCTAGGTAACAGCATGGTGCTTAACCAAAGTTACAAACTCCACTATGTGCTGGAAGAAGCTAGGGCTTGTTGAAACACCATTATTGTTTTGTTTAATTAAAGAGAATGTTCTATATGTTCTAAAAAGTACCTGTGCCAGATGTGGGATGTATTTTACTGGCTTCACGTAGATGGCAAAATGGTATGCAACATCATTTGCCAGCGCTAAGGCAGCAGCAAGGACGAAATTTGAAATGGCTATGATACTCATAAAAATTGGAAAATAAAAAAAATATGGGGTTTTAGAATCAAATTGGGACATACCTAAGATCCCTTGAAGGTTTCGTGTCTATTAAAGGTCAGGAAGTTGGAAAATTTTCATCAGGAACAAGCAAACAGACTTACAGACAGAAACCATTACATAGTACAGATTATGGTGCTGAAAACGTGATAGCCGATATGGAGTCGTTTTCTAGACCTCTGTAAAAATATTTGATATAAAACCATTTTGTAGATTTTGTTCATGGTGGAGTTTATATTTATCATTGTTGAAATAAACACATATGTTTTATCTGTGCTGTTGTTGATAAAATAGTAACTATCAGTTAGAGATAAAAATTTAGGCTTTAGAGATTTATTGGAAATTTTATTTCCTCTCTAAATAGAAATAATGCTTGATTTATAAATCAAATTAGGAGTGGTTTGATTTAACTCTGATTTTTGTCTTCTTGTAGCTCAGAAGAAGGATGTTGTTCTAGCTCATCATATCGGCCAGCATGCTAAGAACTGGCCTTACTGGTTCCTAAAAATGGGTTGGTATGCCAGTTTTGATATTGGTTTGTAATGCCAATAATGTAATTTCAGTACTATAATTTGATCCGATTATTTTCTTTAAGTATTTTACAATTAAAATAATTTTAAACACATCAACTTGATGTTATGTATTTATCATGACCTACTAAACATGACATAAACAGATAATTCAGTCTGTTTACCCAATGAGCTTTGACTATAGTAATGTAAACTTCATGCATGCCTCTTAAAATTGATGACAAATAGTATAAGCCAGCTTTTCTTGTATTTGTGTGTTTGTCATATAGTAGTTCCATGGTGATTATTAAGTGTTTCTTGATCAAATGTATGAATCAGAACTAAAAGTTATTTCAAAAGTAACATAAATTAATGAAGAGAATCCTGTATAACAAAAACACTAGAAGTACTTAATGTCATAAATCATTAAACCAGAAAACTATAGTTAGTGTTCAAGCTAACTATATGTATCATTTATATTATAAGTAACCAGGGATACATATCATCAGGTTGAGTGGACCATGATGGCAGGAAAAAATCTATTTGAAATGTGATATATATATTTATATATATACACATACAATCATAAACACCAAAAACTGGCAAAGTAATGAAACTATTAGGCCTATGAATATCTGTCATTAAAATCATACGAGACTGCAGTCTGTCAAGTTTTTATCATGGATATTGTACATTATGTGCAAAGCATAGTTGACTTTGTCTGGGAGAATGTTCCTTGGATCTTAGGTTTTACATAAAGGTCATGATTACCCAAATAGGCAAGGGGTGAAACCTTTTGTTTGTAAAAAAAAAAAAAACTGTTGTGGATTTATGGTTGTAGCTGCTGAAGTTAAACTCTTAGGCAAATGTTAAAACTAACACCAATCATTATGTTGCTTATGCACCTCCAAACTTGTTAACTAAAAGTCTTTTTAGTTGTTTTTTTTCAAATGCAATCTTGTTTGGAGGCCTGGCATGGCCAGGTGGTTAGGGCACTTGACTCACAATCTGCGGGTCACGGGTTCAAATCCCTGTCAAACCAAACTTGCTCACCCTTTCAGCCATGGAGGTATTATAATGTGATGGGAGTCAATTCCACTAGTCGTTGGTAAAAGAGTAGCCCATAAGTTGACAGTGGGTGGTGATGACTAGCTGCTTTCCCTCTATTCTTACACTGCTGAATTAGGGATGGCTAGCCTTCATGTAGCTTTGCGCAAAATCCATAACAAACAAACAATCTTATTTGGATATTTAATGGTTATGATTTTGCTTTTTAAATGTGGAAATTTTAAGAATTAGAAGAAACAAAACTTCAATTTGAAATTAAATTGTATTCAATTAATTAAACTAAAAACCTTTTTTTTTATGATATATACATTTAGTTTGCCTATTTCGGAACGATTATCCATCAGACAAGTTTTGATGGAGCTTCTCCTTGAATTTAGTTTCTAGGCTTGTAATATTAAGAAGAAAGCTATGATAATATGATTTTTATTTTATATCAAAATGAGTTGAATCTTGACTTGATTTATTCATATAAAACATTTGTCAGAAAAGCAGTTTTCTAGAAATATTCATGAAAATTACAAGCAAAATGATACAAATATGGAAAGAAGGTAACACTTAATGTGTTTTATCACTATTAGTTTGCTTTAATTATATGGCATTCTGGTCTTGATGTAGAAAATTGTGTCATGGTCTTTGTAACCTGCAGAAGGGCTGAAAAAATATTTTTAATTGTTATTGATTCAGTTTATTTTGTTGTTGTTGAAAGAGGTCAGATTAATGGTAAATGTTTTCAAATGTGGACAAGTTTTAAGCTACGAGATATAGCTGTAAGTAAAGATCAACAAGAATCCAAATGCAATGGTAAAAGTGATACCAGGTTAAGTTGTATTTCTTGGATCTATGAGCTAAACTTAATCAAGGTGTAGAAATTGGGTTAATTATTTTGAAATAAACTTACATAAGGTTATCACAATGATTAATGACAAATTTGGCTAAATAACACAACTCTCACTTTTGTACACAAACATAATTTTTAAAGTATTTTTTTGCACATGTGTTGTGTTGAATTTGAGTTATAATAGGCTTTTGCCATTTCTAGTTAATTTTATGATTCATATTTTTCTATGTTCTGAAATTAAATTATAGTCAATTAGTTAATTTTATATTTTTCTCATTAATTTTAGTAAAGTGTATAAAAATTCAAGTGTTTTTTCCCCCTGATATAGGTTGATCTTATTTTTTTTCTTTAAGATGTCATCCAAAACCTGGGTCCGCATACCCTGTCTTTACAAGTCATGCTGAATGGAGATACTACCCTTGGGTCAAGAAAGGAGCTTCCCTCTTATAAAATCAGGTTTACTGTAATAGGTATTCATCGTATGTGATTTAATATTATATGTTGAATTTTTTAATTATTTATTGTTCAAAAAGTTTTTTAAGTATTTACTGATTGTAAGCTTAAGCATCTTAACTGTGTAATTTGAGTACAATTGTGTAGTTAGAAGAAATATCTTGTTTTATTGATAATGTAATGTGAGCTCACAACTATAACTTGATACACTCTTTCACTAATATCAGTATAATTACTTAGCTGTAATTAATATATTCCTGTTTATTTTATCCAAATTTTTAATAATGTATCATACTTTTTCTCTCCATAAATTAATGTAATAAAAATTGAAGTCTTTCTTTTGATACATTTTATGAAATATTTAATACCCTATTAAATTTAAACTAAAATTATTTTAACAGCTTTGAAGATTTCACATATTTTAGGCATTTTTTAACAAGTTAAAAAAAATTCCTTTTCAAGTTTCTACTGAACTGAATATAAAAATTCACTAAGTGATAACTTAAATTAATGTTATTTCAATTTTTTTTTTACGGAATGTGAAATATTATGTACCATTTACGAAATATTTTTAGAATATAAAAGTTGTTTTTGTAATTAATCATAATATTTCGAAATAAATGCATTCGGTGAATAGAATTAATAAATTAACTTCTCTATCCCACAGAGGCTGAACCAGAAAAATTTACAGTTGGTCTATTAGATGGCCCATTTCGTGTAGGTCTTCCTTTCCAGATACCATTAGAATTCTATGATAAGTTTGGTAACCCAACGAAACCTAAAGCAGATCTAAAACCTCAGATTGAAGCTGTGTAAGTAAAATGGTTGTAAAATATACAAAAATTTAGTGTGTCATTTTATTTGATAATAAGTTTCATTTATAACAAAATTATCGAGGATTCTGAGATAAAAAAAATGTGAGAAAAGGCTGTTTTATTGGCATGTCCTGTTGTTAGGTCATCAGTTTATTTTGCATTGGTTTGTGGCATTTCATAAAAGGAGTTGTGCTTATTTTGAAAAATTTAAATATGTATACCCTGTTAACAAATGTTGTTAAATTTAATTTTAATTTAATTAAAAAATATAAAGTAGCAACATGGAACATATTTTAAGGGTTATAAGAAGGGTGTGAGAAGTCCTCTACTACTTCCTCTATCATCTGTCATATTCAGTTTGATGGTCATGATTATGTGCTGTTGCCCAACATTACAATATCCTTTGCACCATGCATCTGTGAAGGATGGAGAGTTCAGTCTGAGACCATACATCTTGGAAAACTTTTCATTGATCTTCCACTGTTATGTGGAGGCTATCATCCACGAACACATACCCAATTATTTCCATACGAGTACCCTTTTCTGTGCATGTCACGAGGTTTTACTGAATTACATTCAAAATTTAGTTAAATTATTTATTATCATGGTATGCAAATAAGTTTGGCATAAAATGTAGCTAATAAATACTATTTTGATATTAAACAAGTTTTAATTTGATAAATCAATATTACAAAAAAAATCTTCAATTTCTTCTATTCTTCTTTTATTTATTTATCTCCAAGAAGTATGAAATTTAACGTAAATTACTCATTACAATATTGTTATTACTCAGGCAAAGCATTATTTTTATAGCCTTCAATCTTATTTGTTTACACATCTGTAAAATAGAAAATTCGACTCTTAAAATAGCTAAACAGTTGTAGCAGATAAGGATATCTAAAGATCTTGGGTTTAATTTTTTAATTCATTCAGTCCTAACCCTTGAATATATTAACAAGATTTAGTGGCTTAAGATGCTAAGGATTGAAAAGATGTAACACAAACCTCTCACAAAAGAGGTTATACTATTTGTAATGTGTCATTATAACCTTTAGCTTTCAGTGAGTTCATTTGAATTATCATTATGGCTAAAACTATTTAAAGTTTTTGTCATAAGGTTATGAGATTTTTGTTTTGTACAATTGTTGTTTGAAAATATTTTTGCCATTTTTTTTATCTGTAGTATTTGTTTTTATATTTTTATCTCGGGGATATGTTCATTGTAAGAGTATATTCAGAACCACTTTTTGTAATTTTAGTGGTGTGGAACTTAAGTATGAAGATTTACAAGTCAAGGGTAACTCCCTCATCATAAAAGGAATAAAAGCAAAGGGAACAGTGGAAAATTCTAGTGGAAAGGTAGTGTGTAGCTGTTATTCTGTTCTTCGGTCTAGACTTATTAATTAGCTAACACAGTTTATTAACGGTAGTGTTTCATTAGTTCTAAAAAAAATTAAACGTTAGATAGACACAGAAATGGTGCTTGGATTCATATTTCATGTTGGTATAGTTTAAGCATGACCATGATTGCTCAAATTTTAAAAATGAATGATCGAATTGTTTTGTTCTACATAAATGTGACCTATAATTGTTAATTTCATATTTTATTTTATATTTCTGTTGGTATTGTACTGCTCCCATGCTTTCCAAAGTAGTGATTTATTTAATAAAAACTGTAAAATATGTACTTTTGCTAGAAGTGTAAATCTTGTGCTTGACTAAAGAGTGATAATTGAACATCTAAGAAAATAATAATATAGATTCATGTTGGTGTAATACATTTCTTTGTGGTGGTAGTTGTTATTAATACTATACTTCAAACTTATGGTCAGTACAATGTTAAGTTAGTTTATTCAACTTATGGGAAAATGTTAACTCTCTTGTATATTTTTATAGAGCTTTCAGCTCGCTGTGAAAATTCCTACCTTGGAAGAGCCGATACAAACCTTAAAAATTCGGCTGCATCCAGGTAACATTGGTTTAATTTTTATTATATGTACAAAAGGTATCTGTAGAAATAAATAAAAACTTTTTATTTATGGAACATTTCTGAGCTCTGTGTTTAAGAAAACGACATTCAGCTGTTTTATGATGCGAGACAATACCTGCTAACTGAAATTTTGTCATAAAACTACAATACATTTTGTTATGGGAAAGTAAAAACTTCTCCATATCATGAGTCCACTTTTGAGAGATCTACTCAGTACTATTCTACTAGAATAGATTATATGCATTTTCATAAAAATGATTTCATTTTTCGCTTGTTTCACATGTTAATTTAAAACTTTAATATAAATTGTGGTGTAAAGATATGTCAAGATGGTGGTTTAAAACTGGTCTAGAAATCATAATTAGATACATTACATGATAATCTTTCTATATTTCTAAGCCACTTTCTATGAAGATGGGTGTTTGAAACTGGTTGACCACAGTTAGATAACATTGCATGATGTTTCTTCTGTAAAGTCTAAACTACTTTCTGCCAAGGTGGGGTGTCTGAAACCCATTAGGTAATAATAGATATATTGCATAATGTTGTATATCTAGCATCCTTCATGTGAGTTTTGGGTGTCTGCAATTCGTCTGTTATTAAGTTAAGGGGTAGGAATATTTCATCTACTTACGATAAACTTAATAAATGGGTTATAGTTTGTGTATCTGTACAGCAGTGTACACCAGTGTTTGGAACTACCGTGGGGTATTTCTAAAATTAAATGGTTTTTGTTAAGTAGGATCCAAAAGTAAAATGTTCCTTATATAGAATTAAAATTATTGTCATTACTTCAATTAAAAGTGTTCTGCTTTTGTTAAGTATATTTATATTAATAAAAATTTTATAAGAAAAGCAGAACTTTTAGTCATTACTTACGTGATAAAAGATCTGTTTTTACTTTATATATTTTTTGTCACAGTCCTCGTTGTGGCCGTGTTTGTAGTTTTCACGTTGAAGGGTTAAAAAAGAGTAGCATTGTAGATATGTGCAGTTGTTTGTCTCGAGGTTTTTTTCATTAATCCTAGTAGCATACAGTATACATGCATTATATAGTTTTTTTTATCAGAGTCTGTATAAAGCACATATTATTTTATTTTTGGAAATTTGTGACATATTAAAATGACTATTCCAGGAGTTCCTGAGAAACTGAAGATATCCCCCAAGTCTCTTGAAATAGAGAATGGGTCTTCTCCTTCATTTGAAGTGATGACTGTAGATGCTGCAGACAATATCACTAGTGAGTCTCGGCTTGCTGTGGAGTGTACTGTAAGTAAGAGAGAAAAGTTAATAAATACTGTTTATTTTGAAAGTGTATCTTGTAATAAATGATTTAATTTGGAATAAGAAATTGTGTGCATATTTGTTTTTTCATGCTGGTGTATGAAAATATATATATTTGAATCATATACACTTAATATTGAAAGATAGAATTGGATTTTCTGCTGAATCATGTCATGATATATGAAAATAATACAAAAGATTTTCAGGAAGTTAGTTGCATATAAGAATGGGTTAGAAATAAAAAATGTGTAGTATTAATAAAACTAGTCCTAGAAAGACTTAAAACTTTTAAGGACAAGATCATAAACGGGAAGCCCAGTAACTTTTTATCTGTATTCCTAAAACATCCCCATTATACTTATAGTAATGAAAAGAAAACTTGAAGAGGTTCCCTGTACACATTTAATATTTTTTTTTTTGGGGGGGGGGTAAATGTCTATGAATAAGAAAGAAAGGTCTGTACTTTATGCAATAGTTCCATGGCCCTCCTGATTCCAGTCTACCTGTGTACAGTACTGATCTATCTGCTGGAGGAAAAGGTGTTATCACAGGACCACCTCTCCATTTAAACCTCGTGGATGCCAAAAAAAGCATTCGGTTAAAAGCAAGATTTTGTGTTCCAGTAAGTGCATGAAATATTACATATTTATTAATTATTTTTTTTTACCCGTTGGTGAAGATAATTGTTTTTTTGTCATTTATTTGAAATGAACAAGCTTGCTGTAAAAAAACCTTGGAAATAAAGGGTGAAAATGTGTTCCTGTCAGGGTGGTATAATATATATATTTTTACATTAGCAAGATTTTAACATTTTAGCTTTTTCCACTTGCCACAAAGTACAGAGCAAGTTTTACTTTTCCTGTTTCTAGTTGACTTTTACAATATCTATAAACGTAATATTTGATTGAGATTTAGCCACATTTCTCACCTAAGTTTAAAAATGTTGATACATGTTTGAAATTAATAAGTAGCGTGAGATTTTTATTTGTATGTCTAATGTAGAAATTCTGTGATTGTTTCATATACTGTGGATTTTCATCCTATAACTGAAGTATTCTTACATGGTTTAACATCTGAGAAGAGAGATTATTGTGCTTTGTATTGGTGCCAATGTAATTAGCAGTCTAAAGATTCTAATCTTCATGCAAGCTATAAAATTACTTATTGATGGATGTTTGTGTGTGTGATTGGTCATAGTAAACACTGATAGTGCTGTTTGTTAAAGTTATTGGTGGTTTCATAAAACAAAACATATATATATATATATATATATATATACTAATTTGACATAAAAAAGGCATTGTGATAATCCTTGCAAACCTTTAGAGTTCTTGTGAGTTCATATTGTTAAATACACTTTTAAATTAAAGTAATTTAAATCTTTATGTTTCCTTAGGATCACAGATTGATAAGTGTTGTAGAAGGTGAGGTTTTGGTTAATCCTAGTCATCATGCTGCCAGTCTGGTAGTAGGCTACCGTGGTCCTAATAAGAACTTTATATATATAGAGCGAGATAAGGACATTTCATGGGTTGCAGGGCAATCTGTTTCTGGACTTGGTACGTGTGTTTCAAAATAGTGTTGAAGAGCTTTCTTAACATTACAGATGACATTTGGTTAAAAATGGAAACAGAAGTGTAATATTTTTTATTGTTAATCATATGTACATTGTTGCTTTAATATGAATTTTTGACAGAAGAAACTGTGCATTGTCAAAAGTTTACACTGTAAACCGTAATTCTATCATGAAATAAAATATAACTTTGGAAATGAATAAGTTACTGGTAGTGTACATAAATGTATATACCTATTTTAGAGCTGAGTGACATTGGAAGAAGCATAAATGTGACTTCATAAAATTTCCATATTATTAAAATACTGAAGGATATAAAAAGGGAGTGTGCATAATATGTCAAAATGATTATAGCTAGGGCATGAATTTGATGTAAGAAAACTACTTAGTTTGGTAAAACTTGCTTAGGCTAGCTGCTCTGACAAAAGCTAATTGTGCCATGCTTGGAAGTTGATGGAACCAGCCAACTATTAAAATATACATACATACATTTCTTCATTAAGAAATCTGGAGATGCTTGAATTATATAATCTTTATTTATCATATAATGCATTGGCCTAGAATGGCCTGATGGTTAGGGCCCTTGACTCACAATTCATGAGTTGCATGTTCAAATCTCATCAAATAAGGCAAGTAACTAAATACTATTTGACATAATACAGTATTATTTGTATTTCATTTTAATACCAAGTATTTAATTGTATAGTGACAAATGATATTAATTTTTTTGAATGTTGTGTAACACGTTTGCTGTGTTGGATAAACAAAAAATGTATTAATGGACAATTGTTCAGATATATTTTTTTAATATTTGTAGAATATCGTATTCTGGATGAAGCTGGTAGAGAGATTGATATAACGCCTAAACTAGCTGGAAACATGAAGGTAATTGTTATGCTTTTAGATAAATTACTGAACAATAGTTTAGAATTAGATGTTTGAGGGATTTGAATCTTGGGCTAGAGCATTAACTCAAATTATTTTCACACAACTTTATAAGCCAAGTTACCTTTTCCTATTGGTATGCAGTCATGAAGTTTTGCTTTGCTGATCTCAATGAGTACAATATTCCTCGTAATAATTTCGGTGAAATTTTCAAAGCAAAAAGTTAAAATCTGAACTAAAGTTTCAAAAAATCTTTAATGATAGTATTGAAGTTGAATAACATTTACTTTGGACAAAGCAAAACCTAAATCATTCAGTATAGTAAAAAAAAAGTGTTAAACAAAGCAGTAAATAGTGCCCTTCGTAAATCCATTTACATGACTAAAAGGAAAATATTTCACAAGTGTATTTTTGGATGCTTCAGTATGAAGAAACATTTGAATTAATCTTATGTATTGGAAGACTATAAATGAAAAAAAAACTGTATAACTGCCAACTTTGTTAACTCCCTAAACACTCATTTAAAGTCTTTATAGATTTAATACTTCCAACTTTCAATATAGTGTGTATATCTTCACAAAATGTGGCAGTCTTTCAGGTAATATTATAAGTCTTTCACATGCAAAAAAAAATCATATTTTGTAGTGAAGTATTTTTAATAAACTAAAATAAAGATTTATCCATGAATATATTGAGTATTTGTTTTGAGTAGTCCGTGTGCAAAGTGATTTTCATGCTAAGATTAAAAATACTTTTTCCCATCTCAAAAATCTCAAATTTTCTTTGTGTAATCCCTAAAATCTTCAAAATACATTTCAAACGTTTGTTTTCAGTAACACTTTATATTTTATCTGTTATTTTCTCTACCCTATCTCTATATGGGATTGGTCAGTTTGACCGACCTCATAACCTCAAAACAAAAATCAAAATAAATCTAAAATACCCTTTTTTCTTTCTAAAATGACTTCAAATTGTAACATGAAACTTTGTAACATTTGTTTTTCTTAAGTAGCTCTAAGTTGGTAACAGTATACATCTGTTTATAATTAAATTTTATTGTTTTATTGACCTTTGAACAGTGTCTAACAACTATCCGCACCATTATAAGTTGTAACTCACTCGGGTAATGTGCAGCTCACATTACACTATTGAATTACATTACCCACGAGCTTCTACTACTATTATTATTATTTATTTTACCTAATCTAATCTTAACTAACCTAAAGAGATCTCTATTTTTACATTTTAGTTATTTAATGATAATAAAAAAGAATAAACATGAAAAACAGAAATAAAATACTTAACCAATCTTCGTCTTTCTTGCTGTAGATTGTCAATGATACCTAACCCTGCTTTTTTTATACTAATGGTAGTAATGCACTAAATAATTTTCATTTAATTAAATAATGCACCAAAGAACATTAACTAATAACATGCAAAAAGTTGATAATTTCTCTTAACTCGCAAAGTGTTTCTGGCTTTCTAACTATGCAACAAGAGCCATTACAAATTCATCCAAGCTAGTGAGTGAAATTGTTGATTATCTGTTCAGAACACAATGTTGTACAGTACACCAGTTGATAGATGAAAACCTTGGCTTTATATTGGTTATAAGTAATATACAACTAAACATAAGAGAAAACTTATTAAAAAATCCTGAAAAAGAGGATGTGACAAGTGGGTGTGGCAGGAGGGTCTAATTTTCTATTTGATAGCTCTGTAACCAAACAGAATTGAAGGCTATAAAAATTATGGTTGTCTGAGGAATGACGATTTTATAGTGAGTAATTTTATGTTTAATTTTGTACTTTTTTGAGAGGTGGTTGATAAAATAGAGAAGAGAAGATGCCTAGAGAAAATGTGTCACGTGTGTCACACTAGGGAAAATTCAGGATTTTTTCCAAATATTGCTGTGTAGAATTAAGAACTTAAAACTTGTATACTATTAAAATATGGATTATTAGCTAACATTTTATGCTATACTAATTGGTATAACATAAACAAAAAGTAGTTTAAGAAATTTTGAATGTAAGACAATAAACCTTGTGTCATGCACAGTAAAAAATACCCATGGTGATAGGGTTAAGTATATATTAAGGAAAAATTCATTGTTAATTGTAAATATTAGTAGAGTCAACTGAACATTGCATGTTATTTTCTTTCTTTTTTTTATTTTGATGATCGTATCATAGGGTTTATTAAATTTAGAGGTGCTTTTAATTTGGTTTTTTTCTTTTGCTTATCTGAAGGTCAACTGGACTAAGAGTGTATCAAGTGATATTCTTTTAGAGGGGAAGTTACCTGATATACAGACACCTCAGTCAATTAAGCAGTTGCTCTACTGTAATGTGACATTGTCAGATAATCATGTGATTGACTTCCCTTTCACCATAAAGTAAGCATTTGAGATAATCAGAGAGAAATATATGTTTACTCACCCTTCTTCATACATGCAAAAGATCTTTACATACTTAATAAAATAATTTTTAAAGATATATTTGACACTTTCTTTACAGGGTTGGTCAATGTGACCAACCTTGTAACCACAAAGTATCCATAAGAGTTTCCATACTATAATTGTAATATGTTTTGTGTGCATCTTCATGAAATTTGGCAAGTTTTCAGTAAACTTTACAAGTTTTTTGTATTCAAAAGAATCAGATTTTTTAATTAAATATTTTTATTAAAGGTTTGTCTCTGAATATATGGAATCAGAGTGTTGACTACTCCAAGTGTAAAGTGATTTTCATGTTAATATTAAAAATACTTCATCTGAAAATTTTCAGATTTCATTTACATAACTTCTAAAACCTCCTAAATAAATATTAAATGTTTTTTCAGTGAAACTTTCTACCATAACTCTTTAGACACTTGGTTGATTTAACCAACCTTGTAATCGTCATATAAATATGAAATAAATCTAAATTTCCCCCCTTTTTTTCTTTCTAGAATGATTGCAGATTGTAACAGAAAACTAGAATTGTTTATCCTAAATAGCTTAAAATGCATAATACTCTACACCTGTGTATACTTAATTTGATTGTTTTATTGCCCTTTTAATTTTGTCTAACTAATAATCCTGCCAACAAATTGTAAATCACTTGGGGAATGTGTAGTTTATGTTACCGTATTAAATGACATAATGCACGAACTGCTTGTGAACATACATCGTAAAGAATTTGTTTTATTCTTATTATTTTTTATTATCTTACCTAATAAGTTACTAATTTTTACTCTTTATTGACTTTTATAATCGTAAACAAAGAATTTGCATGAAAATCAAGAAATATGGTACATTGATATCTTGTTATTTGCTGTCAGTTGCTGATAAAATGTAAGCCTGCTTTATTTTATAATGATAGTACTAGTATGCAAAATTGTTATTTATTTAAATAATGCACTTAAGAACACAGAATAATAACACACACAAAACAGACTATGTCCTATAATTATTATAATTTAATTGACTTTCTAACTAAACCAAAAGGGGCTTAAATTTATTCCCTTAGCTGCTTGATCTGAATGCCATGAAAAAAACTTTCAAACTGAAGATGAAACAACATAACATTATACATCATTTGATAAATTAAAACTTTGCTTTTCTATTGGTTATGAATAATATAGTATAAAATGTATGAGAGAATTATTATCAGTTTATGAAAGAGAGGATGTGAGAGGTGGGCATGGCAAATAAATAAGATTAAAGGTTATAATAATTAGACATTGCCTTAGTGATATCTATATTATAATGAGTAATTTACATTCAATTGCATAGTTCAGAGAGGGGTGGTAAATAGATTAGAGAAGGGGGGAAGACCTAGGGAACAAATTTCATGATTCTTATACTAGGAGAGACTAAGGATTTTTTAAATATTTCGTTATAAAATTAAGAACTAAAAATATGTATTAAAATTTGACTTATTAACTATGATTTGATTCCAAGTTTGTTCGTTTCTATTGATAATAAAGAAGTTTAAGTTTTTTTTTTTAATTATAACTCTGTAAAAGATCGTGACATTTGCACTTTGACCTGCCCATTGCAAGAGGGTTAAGCCAAATATTTAGTGTTCACAAAATGTGTAAGTAATAATTGTGACTTATTTCCTACTATATATATCGAAATTTCAGTTTAACAAGATTAAAAACTGTTGTAATTTATTAAAAGTTTAGTGCTAATAAAACAACATTTTGTAAGTATTTTTAACTTTAACAACTGGTACTGAGTAGACTAACAGACATGGCAATTAAAGGCATTTTTTTTCTACTCATTTGAAACCATTGTGATGTATTATACATCTGGGTGTATTTTAAGCTAAACGTACTATGTTATTTATTTATTTCTACTTTCACTAACAATATTGGATACAGTAGTAAGTATACTGAATGTCATTGCTTTTTCTTTATTGTTTATTATTAGTAATATACTTTTATTATAAAGATTGTTTTGCATTGTTAGATTGAAATATGTATTTTGAATTAACCTAAATCTCCTAAGCTGGCCAAACTTTGAGAGATATTACTGGGGCTATGGCCAAAAATAATGTTAACAGCAAGAATATCCAACTGATAAAACAATGCATTTTAATCTTTGTAAGTAGAAATAAAACAGAAGTATATTTAACCAGGGACTTGGTGAACAAGAAATGTAAAAACAATAATAGAAAAGAAAAAAATGAAACATATAAAATTCCATGTAACTGTTGTCCCATTTCATACTGTGGTGAAACTTCCCGAGGAGTAGATGTAAGAATTAATGAACATATAAATGACATAAGAAAACACTGTATATCAAACTCGTTAGTGTTATACATAGACAGTCATGAACACTTGCCAGAGTGGAAAGATGTAGAAACTTTGCATAAGGGTTATGATAAGAGATTGAGATGAACCATTAAAGCTGCATACATCGCTACAGAGGTCACCTCTAACCACAGAGAAGGCTTTGTTAGTCTGGCTAACGCTGCAGGGTCACTGGTGATTAGTACAGCGATAAGGGCAGAGGTGTGCAGGATATACCAACCAATCATGAGGACGCATCCCTCAGTAACCAACGAAGTAATCCACAAGAGGGTACATAAGAGAAGTGAATAAAATTTCTACTTCACTCTGTGTTTCCTTTCCAACATATTTCACTTAATTACTTATAGTGAAGGCCAGCTTGGTTTTGAGTTTTGCTCTAAATCTGATCAGAAGTTATTATTTATTACTATTGTTTGTTGAGCTACCTTTAACTTTGTCATTTTGCACACTATATCCAGTAAAAGTAGACACAGCAATACAGAGTCCATTTCAGCTGCTTGTGATATGTCATATTGAAAGAGAATGTGTAAAATTATATAGGTGTGCCTTTAATACACTGCATATTATTATAATTTCAAACATGTTTTTGAATTTCTATGGAAAGTGGAGTTTATTGAATGTCTAAAATCCAGACATAACATTTTGTATGTATATACACACATTGTTTATAGCTGTGCTTTAATTAACTACTTTTTTTTTAGACCAAGACACGGTGAGCCAGCCTACCTTAAAGCTACGTGCAGTGGTACAAGCAAAGTCCGTATTGGTGAAGCTCTTCAGGCCGATATCCTAGTCACAGTGGCAGACAAGTATGGAAATGCAGTGAAAAAGGTATTGTATGATAGATTTTTAATGTGCTGGTGGAAATTTGTAATGATTTGTTGTTTACAACATAGAAAAGACTTGATACTCGCATTTGACTCATAACCTCGATAGGGGAGGTGGGTGTCATTCTAGAAACCAGTGATTTAGGGTTATTTCAATAGATCTCTATGAATAAAGCTTGACACAACATCTAAAATTAAAATATGGCATAATGAAATCTATATGAATTAAACTATGATGGTACCATACTGGACATTATACCATCCTTCTTATATTTATTCTTCATAGTAAAAATGGCATATCTTATTTAAGAATTGCTAGGGTAATCATTGTGTAATGCATTTACTTCAACTTCAGCACTGAATCTTTGGGCTTTGCTGTGCCATTAGTTTTACAAAATATTGAAACTAATGGCTTCTTATATATGATTATATTGTGGCCATTTTTTTTTTCTTTCACTATCAGTGCAGTAATCAGTTGATGAACCTCTGATTCAGCTGGTATGTTAAATCGATTGAGAATAAGTTCTTCCCTCATCCGACCTCGATCCACGCTTTAGTTTAATCGCTACACTTAAACTATCACATTCACAACCACACCTAGAATACTTCAAGTAAATTTCATTGCTACATCGTTTTACTTTTACAAGTTAACTTCTCCATGTTGGCTCTCATGGTTTTGGGTCATGACATTGGTTTCCTAATAATTTCTTTTATCCTTAAAATTTTTCAAACTATTAAGATATATATTTATTTAAAAAAAAGGTTAAAAAATAACACAAGAATACTGGAGATATTCCACTAAAGGCATATATAATTCCATTTCAATAGTAATATATTTTTAAAAAATGCAAGACAATTGGGGACATTTAACTAAAGGCATGTGAAGTGTCATTTCAAACATGGATATGGAACACATGACTTTTGAAAAGTACACTTGTAACACTAAGAAAACAACTGTGATAAAAAGTAGGCAAATAATAAAAACAAGCCCAAGGGTTTTGAAAGTTAAGCCTTTCTATTTCTACTTCATCCTTGAAAAATGGAAAGACCACCTCTGATATATTTGACATAGTTTCTTGTTTTTTTTTAAATAAACATGTATTTTATAAACAAATGACACAACCAATTTTGTTGTTTTCTAAAAAAAAACTGTTGTAGAATATTCAATATTAAAAAAATATGTTTCTCAGATGAAAGGTACAAAATATTTAGAGTGACATAAAAAGCTACATATATATTTTTATATA